AAAATATAAGGTTTTGCACTCTATATACAAAATATAAAGTTTGCAAATATATACAGTATAAATATATACAAAATAATACAAAATATAAGGTTTTGCCCTTTACATATTTGTATTTGTACTCCTTCTAAACTCAGCCTAAGGTTTTGTAGTCTACATATTTATATTTGTACTCCTTTCAAATTGAACCTTAATACAAATACTAATATGTATAGAACAAATACATACAAAATAATACAAAACACAAGGTTTTTCTGCCCACATATTTGTATTTGTATTGTGTGTATTTGTATTTGTATTCTTTCTAAACTGAGCCTAATTTACTTAATTGTAAGGGGGCAATTTGGGGGAATGGAGACGGTCCCCGTGAAGACTCGAATCCCTAAATTCTTTTAATCAATATTGTTTTTAAAAAAAAATAAATTTACCCAAAATAAAGGAAAATTTTAAAATATAAATAATATTTTAAATGTATTTTAATATATAATATAAATAATATTACATACATACAACAATATGTGTTACGCAAATAGAGACTAGCAGAGAGGAGAGGGCTAACCTCCCTCCTACAAACTTGACCTAAAAAATAGGACAGATGCTAGAGGGACAATTCATCATAGCCTATCCGTACAAGTGTAAGACCCCACAATAGCATCGACTCCACGTCCCACCATATTGGAAAGAACTATGCAACAAATCCTATCCGTACAAGTGTAAGGCAGGCCCCCACAATTCCAGTGGATTACTAGCAAAGGTGAAAACCCAGCGGAGCACATATGGTGCTACATGGACGCCTTGGGACAGTAGTATGGGTTCAACCCAAAACTAGGGCTGTTCATAAGAATGCCCAAACCGATCAATCTGGACCGACCCAACCCGAGTTGGCCGGGTTTTTATCAGTACCGATCGGTTTCGAATTGGGAAAATATATAAATCGATATATTGGGTCGGTTTCAGTTTTTTTGCGTGAAAATCGAAACCAACCCAATCCGAACTGAACTAGTCTTCTACTAATTCGGTAGTTCTTAGTTTAGTAGTTTCCTACTTAACTATAACTAATCTTCTACTAGAACTAGAAGGCCCATTAGGCAATTACAATTAGAATAGGCAATCTATCCTAGTTTCTAACTTTCTATAATCTTTTACACCAAATAGGCAACTCATTAGGCAATTACAATTAGAATTCAATTAGGTGTCCTTTTGTACAGGAGCAAAATCCAAACCAACCCAACCCGATTCAAACCAACCAGATCGGTTTGGCCTATCAATGGGTCAATTTCGGTTTCCACCTCAGGTAATCCGATCAGGTCGGGTCGATTAGGAAAACCCCAATAAACCGACCCAACCCAACCCGTGAACACCCCTACCCAAAACTGTTGTATAAATAGGGAAGTTGCGCCAAACCTCCATCAGTGATGGTAAGGATATCAAGGGAGGCGTTTTATTGTGTGTTGCATTGGGCCTAAGAGCATAACCGATGTGTTGAGAGAAGCACACCAAGCCACTTGCTCCATTGGCGCATTCACCGGTTGGGGGTTTATTGGCCAACACTTATGGAAGATTCACGAGTTCTCTAAAGAGGGTGCCCCGACTTGGGGGTTGGATTTTATAGGGCCAATTCATCCCACATTGGGGCAGAAGCAATGGATTCTTACGGCCTCATAGTAATTGACGAAATGGGTAGAAGTAGTAGAACTGGCAAAATCGACAGGAGAATCAGTGTGGTATTTCATCAAGGAAAACATTATTTGCAGATTAGAGTCTTGAACGAATTGCATCTGATAATGGGATGAGACCCCTTTGTCAACAGAATAGTCGAAGCCTTCTTAGAGGGCTATTGCAATACATTGGCAATGGACAAGCAGAAGCAACAAACAGGGTGTTGTTGCCATTTCTTAGTCGATTAGTAAAACTTCAAATGGAATTCTTAGTCAAATATTTTTGTTTTAAAACTGGATAAATCTGGTTAATAATAAAACTTCCAACTTGGAACAATGGTAAATTAAGGAAAAAGCCTAAATATTTTATGATAAAAGGAATGACTAATGATGGTTTAGTTCATGGTTTTGAAAACTGGACTGGACCTGGCAGTCGGACCAATTAACCCAGGAATCAGTCAAGTAATTGGTTCCATTTCCCTCAAAATCATTGATTTGATCAATGACCCACTGACCCAAACAGTCGAACCTCGATCAATCAACCCAGATAATGATCTTTGATTGTTTTTTATTTTATTATTTTTTTTTTAAGTAAGAATGAATCGTCTGTTCAAACCAAACGGCCAGACCGTTCAACCTGGGAACCGATCCCCAGAACAGTTCCGTGTCTGGCCTGATTTTTAAAACCTTGGTTAGTTTACCTTTTTCTGCTATTTTCTTAAGATTTTCTTGTCTTTTTACTAGGGAGTAGTAAAACGGGTTGGATCTGGATAGGATTGAAGTGAATGAAGTGTAAATCCGTATCCAAATCTAATAAAAGGAATAGATTGAGGTCCGGATTCGTGTCCTAGTCAGATTTTAAGGAGTTGAATCTATAGTCCATATTTGATCCCATTTACACATTTGAATCTAATAGAAGGAAAATCCGAAAATGTATACATAGTTGCAACACAAATTAGTAATTGAACTAAAATCTTATCATCAGTAAAATTAAAATCTTAACATTGTTTTTGTTTATCTCATATTAATAATTGGATTTCTCCATTTACACATTTGAGTCTAATAGAAGGAAAATCCGAAAATGTATACACAGTTGCAACACAAATTGAATTAAATAAAATTAAAATCTTTAGTTTGTTTCTATATATATATATATATAATCTTTAATAATTGGATTTCTCCCTTCAACAAAAGATAATCAGGTTTCTCGTTTTTTTTAAATTAGAAAAAAGGTTAACTGGGTTTCTTAATATCATTGTTCTGTATCATGCGTTGCTTGCATTGTTCCATTTTATCATCTCTGAAAATCACACTCTCTACACCTCACGCAGAGATCGGAGAAATAGGGAATCTTGTCATGGTAGTTTTATGTACATTAATGCTCAATAAGTGTGACAAAATCACTTTATTAGTTGCCTTTCAGTCCAGTTACAGTCACTTCCCTGAACTCCGGCCATTGATCTCCTTTTCCCCATTTGAGGCTTCACTTCTGGCCTTCTATATAACTTGGCAATGGTGGTCATCAATGTGCTGCACTACGGTAATATATACAGAATCATGCAGAGATGCAACTCAGTCAGAGACGTAAAGTTTTATCTCCAGGATCATGTGCCCTACCATGATCAACTCCTTGTGTACAAAGGAGAACTGCTAACAGAAGAAACGGAGGTTCTATCTTATCTGGGTATTCTGGAGGATGAACATAACGAAGTGGAGATGTATCTTTACAGGAAGCTTCACCATGAGATCATCRTGGTCATCGTTGAAACAGAGAATGGTGCGTTATACATTGACATACCAAGCGACGATGAAGTCTTAAAACTGAAAAGTATGATTGACAGAAGGGTGGGTATAGCTCCTAGGCGCCAGAAGCTGACTACGCTGGGAGCTTGGATGCATGATCATTGGAAGCTGCAGGATTATGCAATTTCCAATAGACAGACTGTTCATCTAACGGAGACCTCTCCAAACCTAGAGTGGTTTGTAGACATAACTGTGGAGGCTCCCAGCACTGGGCGATCAATGGTCATAAAGGTGGACCGATATGATACAGTTTACACATTGCAAGCTCTGATTCGTCGTTCTAACTTCGCTGAGAAACCCGTCTTCCATCTTGAATATAAAGGCAAGCGGCTTGATGGAACAGTGGCATTAATTAGTTATGGTATCCTTGACGATGAAGATACTATGAATTTGATTTATGACTGAGATTTGGAAGAGGGTTACACTTACACATGGGCAAGATGAGAAGGGGGAGACAAGGGTTGGCATTGGAATAATTCTGTCATTGGAACAAGTCAAAGAAAGTATGTGTTTGATTTCAAAATCCTTCTGTCTAATCTAGTAATTCCACTTAATATCTCTTCTACCCTTTCAGTATGAAGAAATGTGATGATTGATGACTATGCTTTTGTTAAGAAATTGATAGATTTTCTTTCCCAAGAGAGAAACCAGCTGATTGTGTGAGTTTCTTCTCTTCCTACCTGAAGTGGGGGAAAAAAACAAGTCAAAAGGTAACAACTTTCTTTTAAGACATAGAATGCAATGAAAAAGAAAGAAAACAAAATTCAGGCCACTAATTGTGATTTTCTTGGTTACCCTCATGTAGTTGGGTTCAGTTTCTTTCTTGTCACAAATCTTGGTTACTGTTAGATGAAACTGCATACCCTTCAACTTTAGTTTAATTCCAGCAAAATCAACTAAAATACTGCAAATTAAAACTGGAAGTTAACGATAATCCTGCAAAACCCAGGTTTTGTAAGCATGTGTGGAAAATGGAAAGGAACCCAATCACTGGGGATTGGGATCACCTACTTAAATTTCAACCTGAGATGTTCTTCAGGATTCAGGAATCATGATTTAAGAGGGTAGCAACAGAACTAGTTCAGATGACAAGGAAGCACTATATTTCCATATTTCCCATTTGAGAGAGTCAATCTCGATCACCTCTAACAGTGCAAGTTGTGTAAACAATCCTTCCAATCATATGACTCAGTGTTTTGAATGAGTAGTTTGTCATTGAAAAAACACAAAAATTGATGACAGGGAATCAGATGAACTCTTCCGAGATCCAATCCCCTGATAGGAAGTAGGAACCCGCATTGCACGCCAGAAATCCATTTCAGAAACGCCAGGCATTTATAAGGCACGCTTTTTTCTTGCTTCTTCTGATACTCCCAATTAGACTATTCACAATCTATCTCAAAGGCATTCATCATAGATCAATTAGAATTCTGTTGCCTCTAAAACATTTCAACAAAGAGAAAGAAAGCAAACTATGGTTCCACCGAAAGAGGAGATATATATAGTTAAAAGGTTAATCAAGCAACAAAATAGAAGGACCAGTTAATCAACAAAAGCGAATTTCGTATTTTTCATTTCCCACAAACGGTTACATACGCCGATATGCATCCCAAATTTACAGTCCTACGCATTGAAACATGACCATGAAGAACAAAGCAAAAGACGGCAAAGAGAAAAAAAGATCGACAAGAAGAATGGCCTCAAGAAACTAGCCCAATCCACTTCTAGGCCCTCTCACCACGGATCCTGCGAGCGAGCTGGATGTCCTTTGGCATAATGGTGACCCTCTTAGCATGAATAGCACAGAGATTGGTATCCTCAAAAAGACCAACCAAGTAAGCTTCGGCAGCTTCCTGGAGAGCGGCGACAGCGCTACTCTGGAAGCGGAGATCGGTCTTGAAGTCCTGAGCGATCTCACGGACAAGGCGCTGAAAGGGTAACTTTCGGATCAAGAGCTCCGTGCTCTTCTGATACTTCCTGATCTCACGAAGAGCCACGGTTCCGGGCCTGAACCTGTGTGGCTTCTTGACTCCTCCGGTTGCCGGCGCCGACTTGCGAGCTGCCTTAGTTGCCAGCTGCTTACGGGGAGCCTTTCCTCCCGTCGATTTCCTTGCTGTCTGCTTAGTTCGGGCCATCTCTGTATCTCTCTGAGACGAAGAGAAGAAAGGCTGATGGATTTGTCAAAGGAAAGGTCGAAGAGAGACTGAAGCAGAAGGCACAGTCGTGATGAGAAGAGGATAGCGGGGTCACGATGTGAGAAGGGTATATGTAGAAAATGAGACGGTGACGCGGGAACTTCAACTCTTGTTTTGGTTTTTGAATTTTTTCGGCATAATGGTCCATCAATCATGACCGTTCGATTTAAGAAAGTTGTTGACGGACTAGATTCGAAATTGCGGAGTGACACGGATTGCGGTCCATGTTTAATTGTTTACCTCCTTGCTCTAAATTACAAAGATACCCCTATAATATGGGATCAGTGTCGGTGACGATGACCCCTGATCCTGAACTTTCATTTGTGACTAAACTTTTTACTTTGAGACAAAAACCCCGTCAGCTTTAAAAATTTTAATAAGGGCTCTATCACCAAAAAAACGTTTACAATTTTAAAATTTCTAAACTATCCTTTTCTTATTTATTTAAAAAAATTTATAATTTAATTAACTTTTTTAAATATAACATTAAGTCCTCTCCATTACTCTAATCAAATTTTTGTTGGATTCAATATATAGATGAAATGGTAGAAATTACTTTTTGATAGATATAAGGGACAATAACGCAACCCATTCAATAAATTTTAATCCCTCAAAAAATAATAAATTAAATGGAGAGCCGCAGCAAAACTCCTCAAATTTCAAAATGTCTGACCCCCCTCCTCCACACAATAGACATTCCAAGTCATCTCTATAATTTTTTGGACAAAATTATCCCCAAATATTTTAGTCATATTTCCATGGTGGTTACGTCTCCAAGACTCCAACCTCAATTATACACCTAACTCCCTCCGGTTCGAAGCCAACTGCCAGAGTATTCTACGTTGACAACCCACTTCACAATTTCCAATGTTTATCCCAAAATAAAGGGCAATAGAGAGTAGAATGTTTCAATTGATCCTCTCCGTTATACAACATTGTCAACGGCCTTCAGGTTCGCCATTTTCGGTGTGCCTTCCTACAACAAGAGCCAACAGAGAGAGAAAGCCCTTTGTTATAAATCATATTCACCATTTTCAATGTTCGTCATAGAGATATGTAGTTCGTCATGCAATATCTTTTCAGCGAATCATCTGAATATTCTTCGTGTTTTTATTGTTTCACTATGTATGCCCCCACTCCTTTTTTCCATCCAACTTCGGCCTTCTTAGCCTCCAATTCTATCTTCTTTCTACTCTACTTGAGAATTATAAATACCTAGTTTTGATTTTTTTTATCTGATTTGTTTCATCACTGTGGAATCATTAGATAGAGGTTCTTTTTGTTTGATATGATTCAGCTTCTACTTTGAGAATTCGATATACCAATTATGTTATGTTGGGTTCTTTGTGTGATTTTCAATCCTTACTAGTTCGAGTTCAAATTGGGTTCTTTTTCTTTTTGATGGAGAATCTACGATTATGTGCTAGTGTCTCCGTTCTTCTACTTGTTTTTTTTCTTTGTATTTTTTGGTTCAAAACTTTATGTTTAATCAATGGGGGTAAAGGGAAGGCAGTGTTGTTTTTGTTTCTTTGTTATCTTTGGAAGCTCAAAAAAATGTGAAATTATTAAAAGACTAATGTTCAGGATTAAAATTTGTTGTGGAATTGTGTTTTATATGAATATGCATGATGATTAATGAGATTTGTCGTTATTATGGGTAATGTTTGGGACTGATTCATTTAACTTATTGTTTTTTGATGAATTAAAATTTGTTGGGTGATTTATGCATCATTTTTATCTATTTTTTTTTATAATTTTGCAAGACTAATCATATCTTTTTCATGTTTTTTTTTTCAATTTGAACTACAAAACCTCTTAGATTTTCTAATTGGGAATGCTTCAATCAATGTCCATTGTGCTATGCCATTTTCAACCACTTTTGAGCTCATCATTATCAATATTTCCCCCGAGAATACAAGGCAACAAAGAGACAAAGAGACAAAGCAAGTCCTTCTGGAATCTTCATCCTAATAGTGGAAAAGGAATTTGTGATTGGGTTTGGATCCCAGGCTATTATTAACCAACTTGTTTCATCTTGCTTTGATCCTACTCCAAATATGTTTCTTTCATGATGTACTTGAGTTGCGGTCTTATTCATAAAGATCTCCATTGAAGTAGTACAACAAGATTTTATATTTATGAAATTTATAAATATTGCACACTTTCTTACTTTAATAAAATTTCATTTCTTACTTATAAGGAAAAAGAAAGAAAAGATACGTATGCGTTTTTACATAGAATTGTGTAACCATTAAGTCTACACACAATTTGTGTATTTTTTGTTTATTTATGTCTATATTGAACTAACATATATACATACATACATATATATATATATATATATTTCAACAAAAAAAAAATGATTTGAAAGACTTAAACCTGAGCCACTTGAATGAAAAATAGAAAAATAACCCTCAGAATAGCTAGCATTGCTAGTTAAGGGGCTATTTTCAATTTGGTAGTCTAAAATATGATACGAACTTTTGGTATATTTTTCTTTGGCATTTTTACTTGTCTATAATGCTTGTTACATGCCTCTAGTGTTGGTTTTTCAAGGGCATTTAATATTTTCTCTTTCATCACGTGTATTACATCTTTTACGCTCTAAGTATATGTCTTGTTTGGATCTTATTCATATAGCTAGTTAATTGACATAGTGGTTTTAAAGGAGTAGAACTGAAGAAGATAAATAAATAATAAAAAAATGAGTGTGCTAATTAAGCAAAACTAAAAATAAAAATGAAGGTGAAGAAGTATGGATTCGCTAGACGTTGACAACAAGAAGACTCTCAATGAGGGAAAATCTTATTTATGAAGAAGTTTAGGCACTTAAGGACATTTCAAAAAAAAAAAAAAAATGTTTTAGAAGACTAACTCATTTAGGGATAGTTTTGTTTGAATCCATAGCACATCCTAATAAATCTCTTAAAATTACCTATGGATACACGTAAATTCAAATTTGGATATTATCTATGATATGGAAAAGATATGATATGAAAAGAATTTTGACCAATCAAAATCCACGCATGAATTTTGATATACAAGTAAATAACACCTTATTTGCTATTATGTTCATAATTTTAGTTTTTTGGCCGGTTGTTTTTTCGATATCATATCTTTTCCATATCATAGTGGAACCCTATCACAGCCATCGGATTTGAATCAAACCAAACTTTATAAATAGATGCACAAAATAAATTCTAAGCATATATGAACATATTATATTAAATCGAATGGAATTGGATTTTATCGAATTGTACGGGTGGATCCATATTCCCTACAATTATAAACAGATGGAATTCGGATCACCTTAATGGTGACATCTCTGGTCGTAGCAGAGATTTGGTTTCCAAACCCTCCCCACCTTAGGTCCATTCCCTACTTAGAAGTATTCCACCCGATACTTTGAACCTTGCTCAGGACAAGATAATTGAAAAAAAAATGGTCACATTTATAGAACTTTCCCCAAAAATCTTAAATTAGATGGAGAAAACAACCTAAATTATATAAATTGCAAAAGGAAACATGTATGACATTCTAATCCACTATCTTCTTGGAACCAATAAAATCATATCATTATATTTACATGATACATACACAAACAAGAAATCATAGTTCTGTCTGGCAACATGGAGGAAAAAGATCCTCATTGATAAGTTGGTTCAATTACCGCAAAAGAATATCTAACCAATTTTTCTGTAAGAGAAGCAAAATCTACCATATGAAAGAAATATTAATTTATGCGACAATTCTCAGAGAGCAGATATTCACAGATTATTGCTAATCCAGTCCCATATAACTTCATAATGGTGAACCACGTTTCGACCTCTGTAAGACTCATCCACCTGATGCAGAGGCCCTCTCCTAAAGACAGCAATCTGAGATGCAAAACCTGGTTCCACGTCAGCAGAACCGCCTACACCACTGAACTCAACACTATAACCGTGTCTCATGGCAAGGTCTAAAGCCCAGCTATTAAACTGTTCTCGGGTCCATTCAAACTTATGATCATGGTTACGGAATCTGCAAGGCAGAGACTGTGTTTTCTCATCTGCATCATCCTCTCTGTTGGCAAGAGTCGTCCTCTGGAGTATTGAGTTGTACTCATAGTTTGGCGTGGAGACAATAAGAATACGTGGGCAGAAAGAGCTAAGCACGATATTCCCAAATATGCATGCTTGTTCCTCTTCCATATGCTCAATTACCTGTAGTTAGTGTGTAAGCTAACCGTTAAGACTATATGAAAGTAGAAATGTAACAGTCTCAACATCTACATCACAAGCGTATGGAACTCAGACCAAAAAATGATACCATCCACATCTTCATGAATTTCCAGTGCAGGTGATACCACTAGATTACACCAGCAGATTAGTCAAGATGATATCTTCCAACTTTCGTATATTATACACTTGAGACTGGGAATAAAGTGCTTTCACTTAAAATGCTGGAAGGTTTCATTTTCAATTTTTCACTACACATGGATGTGGTTCAAGCCATTTGATCAGAATATGTTCTGCGGAGATGAACTTCTAAGGCAGTCTGAAAATTTTACATTGTTATGGATACACTTGCAAAGTTGAGTAAAATTAGGTTAAGCATTCATTAAAATTTGAAGCGCCACAGGCTGAGATACCCTAACCATTAAAGAAAAATAAAAATAAAAAAAAAAAGAAAGAGAAGTTTATAAAGCTTCCTACCTCTCATGCCATCAATTCCCAGTCAATCCCTTTAAGTGATACATGGAAAATTGTGGTATAATAAGATTAACCATCAAAATTGGTTTTATCCGGGGCTAGGGCTGCAAGTCTGCAACTTGGGTAGCATGGGCTGGGCTTAGGACATCAACTGCTGAACTTCAGTCATGGAGACCTGTTGACATCATGCTGTCACCAGATGATGTCATTAATCCATATGTACGGTGGTAGCTGAACTTGGTTTTGGTATGGTTTGATGCACCCTTCTTTTAGGAGGTTTTTGGTACAAATATTATGGTCATTTAAATGTGTTTAGGTATTTTCTGTATTTTTTGGACTGAAATTACAAAAGAAAAATGGATACAGGATCTAACTTCTCTGAAGATGGGGAGTGAATCTCATGCTTTTCCAAGCCCTAGAAAATATTTGGGGATTTTTTCTTCCCTTTTATTTTGCTACCTGATGGAGGCGCATGTGGCAAGGTCAGGATGGCACCACGTGGCAGGGCCAAGATGCAATCTCGGCCATCCGCTGCTAACAACCTCCAACTCATCCCTGGCGAGCTCAAGTATAAATATGTGTCATTCCCTAGGTAAGTTATCTTGGCTCTTTCTGCTTTCAAGCTCTCTAGCTCTCAGGTGACCTCATCTGAGCACTCTCCTCAGGCCTCGTTCGACCCCCTGTTTGGGACTTGACTAACTTGACCGTCAGAGACTCCGCCCCTGGGATAACACCAGGGGCCTTTGACGTGCTCTCTTGCTCCCAGGTCGGACACTTCGGCCCTCGAACACTACTAGCCCTCGGCTAAGGAAGTATATTTACCTTGTTGCCCTCAACCCATCCTTGGCAACAACAATTGGCTCCGTCTGTGGGAACCATTGCTAAGACTTTCCCCCTAAGTAAACACTTAATTCCAAACTACTAAGCTTCCAACAAATGGTTGATAAGCAAGATAACATGTCAAACGATCAAAAATTGGTCACCATGGACCAATTTAGGATGGTCCTCGACAGGCTTGACAACATCACGCAGAGATTGGATGAGGTGGGGCACCTGACAAGAGGCCGCCCACAAGGCAGCCACCCCATTGGGAGCCAAGGGCAATGGACACTCCACTCGTGCTCCACTGGTCCAGCGCCCCTTTGGCCCTAAGAAAGCTGACCCCTCCGTGTCCAATAGTAGTCAACGTGCCAACAAGCTGTCCAAGACTTCCTACCTCCCCCCCCCCCAACCGGGGGGGTGATCCAGTTGGGTCCCACAATAACCGCCGAGACCATGAACATCATTACCGTGTTGAGAACCCCTGGGACAAAGGCGGGCACTCTGGCCACTACAGTCCTCCTCCAAGGGTTGGAGGCCGACGCCACACCTCTCCCTCACTAGTGTCGGACCACCACCACCTCCTCAATGATCGTCGAGCCCAAAGAAACCAAGATATACCAACATCAGAGAACTCTGGGAACCGATCTGACCCATTTCATGTCCAGGAGGACCAGGCTCCCATCGATAGAAGAGTTGGCGATCTACAGGTGCATAGCGGCACCATGAAAGATGAACTTTGACAAGTGAAGGAGGGCCAAGGTGATGCCTCCACCAGTCAAAACCCCTCGTCCAACAAAATGGATGCCTTCATAGACTCCATCACCTCGAAGCCTCTCCCACCTCACTTCAAAGCTCCCACACTAGAGATGTACGATGGAACGACCAACCCCGACAACCACTTGGAAAGCTTCTGAGCACTCATGCTCCTATATGGACACTCCATCGCCTTGACGTGCCGAGCTTTCCAAGTGACATTTAAGGGAGCCATGCGCAAATGGTTCTCCAGGCTCCCCACTAGCTCCAACTCGTAGGAACAGTTCGCCAATCTTTTCCTCTCCCACTTCATCAGCAACCAACGGTGCCAGAAGACCGTTGTCTCCCTCATGTCCATCCGACAGAAGCGTGGAGAAAGCTTGCGGTCCTATATCGATCGCTTCAAGAAAGAAGAACTCGAGGTCTGAGACCTCAACCCCTCGGTATCAATGCACGTAGCAATCAACGGCCTCCAGGCCAAACCCCTCAAGTGGTCCGTCGCCAAGACACCACCCAAGAACAAGGTGGAAATTTTGAAGAAAGCTCAAAAGTATATCACTGCCGAGGAGGCCTCAGCCGGCAAACACCAGGAGGGCAAGGCCGACCCCAACCAAGGGGCATCAGAGAAAAAGAGGAAGGACCGAGACGGTAAATAAGTAAAACCAATATAAATGTTGGGATTTGAGAAACACATGCATGTAAAAGTAAAAGAGTTTAACGTTCAAAAAGTTGGAAATTCAATGCAGTTTACTCTTTAGTTAACCGATTGAAAGGGTAAACAAGTAAAACCATTGGTCAACCCGAGACTATTGGTTCGGTTGATGTAAATAAGTAAAACCAAACAAACCCGTGAACAACCCTACATTACATATTTCAACTCATTTATGGGGAGATGCAGCTAAAACAGTTGTGTACCTTATTAACAAATTTTTTTTTGATAATTTACCTTGTTACCAAACTTCCTTCAACGACTTTTCATCATTTGTCTCCTCATCAACTCCTCTTCCTAGAGGATCCAATCTTTTGTCTTTCTATTGCTATTCGTAAGGTAAAAAGAAATGTACTAATACCTATTACTAATTATGTATCTTGTGATGCCCTTTCACCATCCTGCTATGCCTATATCTCTGCCCTTTTCTTCTATGTCCATCCCTCACAGTATTAAAGAAACAATGCAATCATCTTAGTGAAAGGATGCTATGAATCAGAAAATGGAGACCCTTCTAAAGAATTAGACGTGGGAAATAGTTCACTCTTGTAAGGGTATAGTTCTTATGGGATGCAAGTGGGTATACACTATTAAGCACAAGGTTGATGGCTCAATTGAGAGATATAAGGCTCAATTAGTGGCAAAAGGATATACCCAAACATATGGCATTGATTATTAGGAGACCTTCGCACTTGTGGCTAAAATGAAATCCATTGGATTAATTTTGTCTCTTATCACCTATTTGTCATGGCCCTTATATCAAATGGATGTGGAAAAGTCCATTATCAATGGTGACCTTCAAGAAGATGTTTACATGGGCCTTCCTCCTAGTGTGACCTTCCTTCACAATAAGGGAAAATATGTTGTTTAAATAAATCTCTCTATGGCTTAAGTAGTCTCCTAGAGCTTGATTTGATAGATTGAGGAAAGTTGTAGAGAGATCAAATTTCCTTTTGTTAAGTCAAAAGACCAATTAGTTGATAGTCTGACGAAGGGAATTCCCAAACCAAAGCTTGACAATAATCATGGCAAGCTGGGCATGATAGATATCAATGCTCAACTTGAGAGGGAGTCTTGAGAATATGTTTTGTTGTAAGGGTTTCCTTGTCTTTTTATCTGTTTCTTTTGGGTGCCTATAGCTAAGGGCATTTATGTAATTTGACCATCTAATATAAAAGCTTCTTTCTGGGAGTGAACAATAACACACCCCACACATACAAACATCTCAATCCATGGCTTCTAATAACATGGATATAATCAATGTGCTTAAAAAACTCGACTTTTACTACTAGTTCATCTCAATCCATGGATTCTACTACCAAACACACTGAAGTTAACAAGCATTTCATTAGAGAGAAGATTGAAAAGGACGAAGTTTGTACTCCCTAAATTGGCACTAAGATCAGTTAGTTGATGTCCTTAAAAAAGAGTTTCAATTCTCTTTGGCATAATAAGTTGTGTTGCAAGTTGGGCATGATATTTATTACCCAACTTGAGGGGGAGCAATGTAACATGTGGTCTTTTTATTGTATCTTTTATGTGTAAGGGCATCTATGTCCTTTCACTTTATTTTTTAATGTATGTTGCCACCTTAATATAAATAATATCTTGTGCACCACCTATCCAATCTTGTTGGCTGTCCACTCTTGTTCTATCTCTATTCTCTACTCTCTCCACCCATATGGTACCGATGGCCTCCATATCAAGCCAAAAAATTCTTGAAGACATAGAAACCTTGCTTCATAAAATTGCTTTAACCAATCCACTAATCCTAACTTGCAATACTTCATGAACTCAATATTCAAGAATAGACAATTAAGACAAAATTTAATACCTCCAAGCAAGTCCCAATGTCAAATCCATACAGCCGTGAGTCAAAAGCTGTGATGGAGCCATCATACAGTGTTGCAAATTTGATGTTTGCGCTTGGTTTAGAAGGATCAGAATTTGAACTTAATTTTGAATGAAGTACCTACAGTATCAAAAAACAAAATATGTAAATAATGCAATGCTTTCTGTAGCACTAAAAGGAACTACAAAGAAACAGTAAATAGAAAGAACTTTATCAATATTGAACTTTTCATCATACGCAATTTTGTTGCAAGCTTAGACAGAAACACAACAATCTTACCATCTTTATATAGGGAAAATTCAAAACAACAGCCTTCTGGAACATGAGAAAGGAACTTATTTTGTGGATTTTGTTTATTTGAAGCTCCAAAGAAAGAATGTGACAATACCTTGGTTATCAGGGTGGCAAAGCTATAAGGTTGATTTGGTATTCACCTGCTGTGAAAACAATTGAATGTAAGACTTGAATGACCAAAAGACAAGTCTAAGAGGGTAAGGATGGGTTTATGGGTTAATTAGGACTAAAGAAACAAAGAATGGTTAGGTTAATAAGACTAGGATACATAGTTTGTAGAAATAATGGGCCGGATAGGCCATAGTTTCTTTGTATTCTGTTTATTTGTTTCTTGAGTTAACTGACCTTCCTCTTATGGGCCTCTTAACCACTTTCTGTGTTTTTATTAGTAGTCGACCTATTGAGAATATTCTTGTAATTACTCTCACTTATTTCTAATCTTGATTAATACAAGTAATTCGGAACTGGAGAGCAGTCAACGGTAGACTCTTCTCCCTCTTCCATGATTTTCATCTTCCCTCCTCTCGCACTGATTTTCTTCCTTCTTATGTTGTTTTTTCATTTATTAAACACAAAATCTATTCCCCAATGAACGCTACCAGTAGTATGTGGAGTATAAGAGAACGTTTCCACAACATATTTCCATTTCCACTTCAATAGGTAGTGACATCAAATGTTACTGGAATCAACATATTCCCCAGTTGAACAATACCAGCACTATATGGAGTGCAAGGGATAATATTATAACATGAGTTGGTGACAATATTGTAGATTTGTGAACTACCAATCACTTTGAGGTAGCTTAATGTTCATTTCAAACATGAAGTTAAATATTAATTTTTTGTTGTAAAAGAATATTTGATTGATCCATTACAACCATTTACATTTTCTGAGTTTAGATTTTTCTTTAACGCGTTCTACCAATGAAATTTCTAATCTTAAGGTTTTCATGACAACTACAGAACATATTCTTTTGTCCATAACCTTAGTTTCTTAGCATTGTTTAATGATTTGGAACAAGATAATAAGTTAAAAAGGTGTGCCAATGCTTCTTTTATCATTTTATAAAATATCATTCTATATTTTGCATATTTTACAATGTTTTACCATGTCTATAATTTTTACAATATTTCCACACAATATTTGCGACATTTCCTTACATACTTCCTATATGTCCTGTCACCACCAGCCAAAGGTTTTTCATCCTCAAATACTTCAATTTACCTTTGACTTTCAAAAACAAGAGGCACACACTTGATCACTACTACTACTTCCCAAGGTTGTTACTATGTTCTTCTTTGACACCGCACACAACTAGCAACCATGTTTCAAAAGAAATTCACAAAATAACCACCAAACATCCCTCTTGAACTGAAAAGCTGCAGTGCTAAAGGGTTCTAAATACACCACCTGCACCACAACTGTCTAGGGCTGTCCAATTCACAAACACTGAGATGCAAACAGAAAACAAATCACTGATCCATTGCAATACGCCTTATTCAACACAGCACACCATCCCTCTTGGTAACTACCAATAGAGGGTTCACATCACCACACAACCACCAAGATTACCTATTCTGTTTTATCAGACAAAGAACCAGAAAATAGATGGAGAGAGAAGTAAGAGAGATCACAGATTCTTCTAGATCAGATCACAGCCCTCTAGTACTCTTCTAGGCACTCCGATAATGCCCAGAAAATAGAAAAGGCCAGCTAAGATATATAGATAATTCAAAGAAATTACAATGTCCAATATGCCCACACTTAAGTATGGGACACTTAAGTAAAGACAAGACAAAGGTCTAATTATATAACATTAAAACATAAAGTAAAGATGAAGTAAAGATGGAAATGCCAAACCATGATTGTACATCAACATGCAACTTCATTGCATCTTTCATCTCATTAGAGCTAATACCCAAGAAGATGGAGGAGAAGAACTTCGTGGAGGCCAATCGATGGAGGAAGTATCTCAAGGTGGAGGCGAAGAACTTTCTGTTGGAAGAACTGGGAACCAGAGGGCAGATTAGCTTGAAAATCAGGGAAGCTAAGCTGGCTATGGTGTTGTTGGTAGGACTAAATGTGGTAGAGTGGTTCATAGACTTTGTAGTTGCAGCAAGTGCAAAAGGAAAGGATAGATGCTGGAAAGAATTCCTAACAGAGGTGGGAAGGAGGTATGTGGTGGAATGCAGGAAAAATCATAAAGGATCCTTCATAACACTTTCAGAGCATTATAACAAGGCCAGGAAGCAGATGGTCTGTTTCCCAGAAGGAAGAAAGAGCCAAGGGTGGATTGAAATAGTTAAGGTTCTGAGAGAATTTCTGTCAAGAATGAAAAGGAAAAAGGGAAAAGGTTTAGAAAAGAAGGTAAGAGAGGATCTCTCGAAGATAGTAGTGAACCTTGAACCCCCCAACTAAATTGCCCCTACATTGGTGCAAGATGGAAATAGAGCGGCATTACTGGTATTGGCAGAAAAAGAAGTGGTCCAATAACTGACTGTTGAAGTCGACAAACCAGGTAGAAGTTGGGAGGAGATTGCTGATTTGGTGACAAAACAGTTGAGGATGACAACCACATATGTATTAACGCCTTTTGATGGGTGCAAAGCTTTGCTTGATCCCCTGGATAACAAGCCAGAAGTTGAGGCTGTGTGTTTGCAAGATAAGCTGGGCTCGGTGAACATATTCAGGTGGTCTCCTTCATAAAACTCAAAGGAACCCTCGGGTAATGGATGGAGTAAAAGTGCGCGTGGTTGGTCTACCTTTCCACCTTTGGAAGGATGAAGTAGAAGAAGCCATCGCAGCACTGGGTGGAGCAAGACTGGCTGGTGTTTTATGGGGAGATCTCAGGTCTGCAGCAATCTTGCTAAATGGAGTCAAGCCTGAGGAGATTCCAAGGAAAGTGAACCTGAGAGTTCAAGGAGCTCTCATGGCGGTCTGGTTGACTTCCTCCATTGAAGCTGAAATGTGGAGGGAAGCTCCAAGGGATGAAGATGGTAAGGTTAAAGAAGAAACCTTACATGCAAGCAAGGGATTGGTAAACCTGCAAGGAAGATACAGTTACACAAAAAAGGGCAAGCAAGCTCTTGGAATTCAAAAGCTTTGCCAAAGATGGGATGTCATAAACGTGATCAACAAGGCATTAGCTGGGTATCCGACAGATCATATGCACTTGCTGTAACAAATGGCATTAAAGCTTCCTCCTTAAACACCTGTTCGACTGAGAAAAGGTGAGAAGGGGGCAGTAAAATCCTTTGAATTGAAGTCAAAAGAGAGTAGGGGAGCTGAAACGTCAGGTCCTTTACAAATAAATAGGGTCCAATCTCTACCCAATCCGGGTCAGGTAATTGTGAGTGGGCCCCAGGTTCTAAAAATTGGGCCAACTAATAGAAAAAAGGGACAAAACTTGTAGTGGGCCGACCATTGAGGGCTTATCTAAGGTGGGACAGGGGGAACAATATGTTAAAACAATATATGGGCCAAACCTTACCAGCCCATCAAAGGGACCCAAGATAGTTAAAAGGTCGCGTGACCAGGGGTAGTGTCTATAGATGGTAAGCACCATCTATCTTCTTCTTCGTTGAGCTCAATGAGCCGAAAACCACGAAGATTGAACTTTGCCCATCCTGGAAACTCATTACAGTGGGTTGCGTCAGAAAGATTGAACAGGATGTCACCGGAAAAACACAACCCGAGGAGTATCAGGCAAAGTGATTTAGAACTGAAGCAATATGATTGCTCTGAGGAGGAAGATTCCAATGATACTGATTCAGACGACATAGTAAGCTTAGGGAGCATCGACTTGAGAAGCTCAAGGAATGTTTTTGATGAAGATAGCTTGGGCACGGAGGTACTCTTTCAAGAGAACAAGGAAGAAGATGATTCACAAATAGTTAAGGAAGACGTGAACTTTTTGGATCACCCGGCAAATAGTTAAGGAAGATGATTCACAAATAGCTAAGAAGTTGGAGAGATTAATGAGAACTTTTCTTTGGGAGCCAGGGGAGGAAAAGAAAGATCACCTAATCAACTAGGATATAGTTTGTAGGAGTAAAGAGGAAGGTGGACTGGGATTAGGAAGGTTAACTCTCAAGAACAAAGCTCTCTTAGGAAAATGGTTATGGAAGTGGCCTAGAGAAAGGGAGAGGTTATGGCATGAAGTGATAACTAGTATACATGGCAAACTAGAAAATAGATGGGATGCGGGTGTATCACGTCAAGCTACGTTGGCATCTCCTTGGAAAGAAATCCAGAGTATCCTCCCTCAATTTCTCAACTTTGTAAGGTATGATGTCAATTCTGGTAACTCTATGTTATATTAGGAAGACACTTGGGTGGGTACCGTTGCCTTAAGGACCAATTCCCGCCTCTCTATTTTCTTTCCCTTTACAAGGAAAAAGCTATCTCTTATTTTCTCCCGTCTCCTACTTCACCCTCATCCTTAAGTTGGGACTTTGGCTTTCGGAGAGGTTTGAGGGATGATGAACTTAACAGTGTTTCAGATGTGTTGTCTCTTATTGGCAGTGTCTTTCTGGACCCTCTTAGTTTGGATGTGAGATTATGGTCCCCTCATCCAAAAGGTTACTTCACTTGTGCTTCATTTTTTAAGTCCCTTTTCTCTTCCCTGGGACAGTTGGGTTTCCCAACCAAGGAGATATAGTCTAGACCTGTTCCACCTAAAATTATTATTTTCTGTTAGGAGGTGTTTTATAGAAAAATTAATACCTTGGACAGCTTGCAAAAGAAAAGGCCTTTCATGTGTTTGTCCCCTAACTAGTGTGTACTTTGCAGGGCTAGTGGTGAGGATTGCTCCCACTTACTTGTATCTTGTTCCTTTTCTAGTGCTATTTGGAGTTGGATTTTTTTCTTTGTTTAGGTGCAGGTGGAATCTGTCCACAGATTTAAGTCAGCCGTTTGATCCTTCCTTTTTTGCGTGGCCTACAAAAAAAGGAAAAATGATGTGGAGATGTATTAGAGCAGCCGCCTTGTGGTCGTTGTGGTCAATCTGGGAAGAAAGAAATGCCAGGATATTCAAGGAAAATGAAAGAAGCATTCAGGCTGTTGAGGATTGTATCTTGACTATGCCCATTCATTGGTTAAGAACTATGGACTTCTTTAATATATGTTCCTTTGATGACATTTGGAGAAACTGGATAGCGGTGGCTAACAGCCATACGAGGAAGGACAGGGAATCTACAATGTGGATGCCTCCGCCTGAAGGATGGGCAGAGCTGGACTTTGATGGAAGCAGCCAAGGAAACCCAGGCCCATCGGGGATAGGAGGGGTGTTGAGAGATAAGGAGAGCAACATCTTAGCCTTGTTTTCAGGCCCCGTAGGAATAGGAGACTCCAATAGAGCTGAGATTTTAGCAGCGGTACAAGGTATTCAGACTGCAGAAGAATTAGGAGTTCAGCACTTGGGAGTTGAACTGTTGAAGGAGACTCTAAGATTGTTGTGGGATGGCTGACAGACCCAGCTTAAGCTATGTCGCGACATAGAGACTTACTGAGGAAAGTCAACTGGCTCCCAAGAAACATGACTGCTACCTCTCTTTGGGTGGGAAGATCAGCAAATACCTTAGTGGATGGGTTAACTAAGCAAGGGGCTTCAAGGGAACATTTATTTTGGGCTGCTCTGTAACTTTATTTCTGGTTATTTCTATTTTTATTTTTTTTAATTTGATGTAATACTGTGTTAGAAGAGGTAACAGTTCGTGCCTCTTCTTGGGTTTCCTGTATTGCCTTATTTTTCTGGATTAATAAATTATCTTCATTCATCAAAAAAAAAAAGATGGAAATGCCCCTAATAAATTGACTGCTAAGTAAGTTAAACAAATGACCTGTGTAACTGAAGACTAAAACTTGTAGCCATTTTAGATTTGGAGCAACCAAGGAAAATATACTTAATGCACGAGAATACAATTTATTAAACCCAGAATCAAGTTTTGGCATAATACATATGGAACCAAAAACAAGATAAGGAAAAGGTGATAAAGGAGGAAACAAAACAAAGAAAGGTGATTACTAAAGAACAAAAGAGGGAATGTAATTTATAAGATAACATTAAGTAAAAACAGCAACATTCCGATAAGTTTTAACAAGGTTCTATGATATTGATGTTTCTTCCTCTCAACCACCCTATTTTGTTGGGCTGTGTATATACAGGAAGTTTAATCACACTATGCTAATCATAGTAATAGAAACTCCAAACCGATTATAAATTTCAGCATGAAAAAGACACAGATATAGAGAACAATTCAAAAAAAGGACAGCCCAGTGCACGAGGAACCCGCCAATGCGTGGTCTGGGGAGGGATAGATGTATGCAGCCTTACCCCTGCACATACAGAGAGGCTGTTTCCAAGATTTGAACCCTGGCCACCTAAGTCAGAATGGAGCAACCCAACCGTTGCACCATGGCCCACCCTCATAGAGAACAAACCATGGAAACAGCCTCTCTGTATGTGCAGTGGTAAGGGTGCATACATCTTTCCCTCACCAGACCCCGCATTGGTGGGAGTTGTGCACAAGGCCGCCCTGCTGAGAAACTATAGTCATTAACTAGTTCAGACCTTAGCTGCATGTATGAGACTCTTCTTTGAAATATCAACTCCAACAATTTTTTCCAAAGCGGTAGGATGATCCAACAATGCATCCAGTAGACTGCCAGACCCACATCCAAAGTCAACCTGTCAAGCAAAAGATAAATACAAAACTCTGAAACAATTTTTTTCTAGAAAGAATGGTTGAGTATGTTGAGTAGGTACCAGACTAGTAGCACAAGATTCATTGATGTATCGTAAAGCGTACTCCACTCGCTGTTTTGAAAGAGGAGGGTTGAATAGGGCCTGCTCAATTCTGTCTTCCAAAGGTTCCATTACCCGCAACAAAGTTACAGAGTACTCCAAAAAGCAGCCTTCTGCAAGAGAAAAATGTTCAAAAGATCATATTGCACATCTAGCTATCTCACACATTCAGGAAAAGGATAAGACCTGGGTAAGGTGTCACAAAGAGTATGCAAAAAAGTGAAAAAGTGCACAGGTTGTGGGTTCAGTCACCAACAACAGTAAAACAATGCCCTCAACCATATTGACAATTAATAGTTTTGTATGAACCCTGCACCAACCATATTGAAGCAATGCCCTCAATATGACAAGTGCACGGGTTCAACAATCACAATCTTCTAATTAACAGAAAAACCAAGAAATAAATTGGATCTTCAGGTGATCATGACTTCGTAAGTTATGAGGACTTCCATGAATGGATCAGATAGCGCAAATGTTAATTAACAACGAAGAAAGAAACAAGATGGAAAATTCATCAAAAAAAGAAAAGAAAAGAAAACACATGGCATGATGTTAGATAATCAGATGCATGTGGTTCTAGGTTATGGAACTTCCAAGTGGAGGCTGCTTTCATTGAGCTGAGCTAAAGGTGAACGTTGGATACCTGATTTGAAAAAATTACACTACAACAGGCATAGGCTTTCAGTCCAGGCCCATTCAAATTCTAACAAATTCCCAACATGAGCCCACCCAAGTTGCACCCAACAGACTGATAAGCCTAGTAAGCCAATTGCAGATAAGGAAGCAAAGACTTTTCCCTCACGATATGGATTTATTTACCACACTATATTTCCACATGAAATAGAAGCCAATATTACCTAAAGATAATAGAGAAAGACACTCCACAGAATTGCCAGCAGCAGCAAAAATCAAGTCCTGATGAGGTACAACTGTACTGAAACAGGCTGACTGGTTCACAGACATCTGGTATACACATGCTTCAAGCTCGGGAACAACAGCTGCAGTCCCTATTTCAAACTCAAACTCATCACTGCTTTCAAGAATTTCTTTCATATGATCCCCTTCTCTCACTAAATAGACAACATAACTTATGCATGCCAAAGATCCATTAGATGGGAAGACACCAGAATCTGGACCCTCAATGTTAAAATGTTCCTGCTTTATATCTAAACGATCCATGCAGTTCATTGTTAGTAAACTGCATTTTCGAAGAACACTTGTCCGCTGAACAGAATGAACAGATGGACACAATTCAAATTCTTTCAAAAAGTTCTCATGATGAACACAAACACTGGGACTATCTTCAAAGGAAAGCCTTGCTACAGACATATACAACTGCTTGAAGCATTTGCTTAAACATGAGAGAACCTTTAATGCAGAGTTTTGAATGGCATCATTTTGCTTTCTATAAAAATCTTTTGGTAAATACTCAATAATCAAATCTTGGTTCTTTGACAGTATTCTTACTTCACATCTGAAAGTGCTTGCCAGTGTCACTTTTTCTCTTCCAAAAGCATCAACTGATTCTCCATTTGCATTTGTTTGTTCTTCAGTTTGATTTGTTACATTTGACTTGAACTTTTCCGATATTCCATTGGGAGAGTCCAAAGAATTATCCATACTTATTATAGAGAATACAGGTTCTGATAACCGATGCTGTCTGCAGAATGTACAAAGGAGATCCCTGGGAGAGGAACCCCTCCAGTTTGAACGTGTAGTGTATGCTATAGGTAATTCTGCTACAATAATTGCATCTCTGGATAATTTGTAACCTCCATCTGGTAGTCTGCCAACAAGCATCCTGTAGGAACAGATGTCAAAAACTGAGAAAAGACAATTTTTTGAAAATTGATGCCATGATGTGATTCTGAGTCTTCTGACTCGTACTATGCATAGAAAGAACAAATTTCTTTGCCACCTCTAGGGGACAAATCATCCGGTTAAATTAGCAGGTTGGAAGACTAATTATTCTTCTAAGCTCAAGCTTTGAGGAACTGAGCATTCTTTTCGCTGGTCATCTAGACTTATATGGTTGATAAGATGTTTAGAAGATAATACATATCAACCATCTGCAGAGGGCAAATATTTAAGCACATATAATTTCCTAGGTATAACAGGAGGCTCTTTAGATGCATTTATGCCAACGTTATTACAGATTCTAAAAACTTCTGTTAGAGAGCCGCCCAGAAAGAAGCAAATTACAAATATGCTCATAGAGATGATGTGCACACATGACTAACTTTATGATACATACATGTAAATCATGGGCTGAAAAATTTAAGAATTTTCTTCTTTCAACCTATATTAACAAAATTTAAAGAAATTTAGCCTTGCAAATCTAGGTAGAAAATTATAGCATCAGACAGGACAAAGAGAGGATTCCACCAGTTCCCAATAAAAGGAGCCCTTCTTGACAAAGTCTTAATATTGGAGGTGAATGTCCTAGTTACTAGGGAAACATTACAGAATTGATTAGCAAGAAAGGCACCTGTAATAGGTATTTAGAGATACATCTTCATAGAAAAGGTCAGAAGACTTCCATGTATATCCAATGGCTGCTAGGATTGCATCCCCATAAATATGTTGACCAGACAAACAATATGCCCTTGCATTAAAAATTGAACTCTTTACTGCCTCTTTGAATTTCAAAGAATCTTCCAGTGATGAACTCAAATGAAGAGGTAACTTCAGTGCATAATAAAGTCTCATTTCAGAAGAAGTCTTGCCAACAGTCCTGTCAAAAATAAACAGCAGCAATAATAAAGAAATAGATCATATAAAAATAGTATATGAATAAACAGAAGCAACAATATTGTCTATTATTTTATTTTTTTTATCAAAAAAAAATAGACAATAGATATATATATATATATATAGAGAGAGAGAGAGAGAGAGAGTCCAGGTCTTGAATGGAACAAGAAGCAAAAAAAGGCTTTTCTTCCTAGCCATGCAATACATGTGACATACACCCATCAAATTGGGAACCAGCATTAGCATACCATTTCTAAGTCAAAGTTGACCCCATTGGCTACTAAACATCTGGCCTACTGATTTTCTTTTTATTCTCCTTGTGTGTTCCTCAAATCCCTTGGATCATTTTTACATAAATCCAAGATCATAAATGGCAGACAATCATAAGAAGAAAGTCATATAACACTGCGATGTTCAAATATGTATGCTTCTACTAACCTCGAAACTAGGACCTCAGAAGCATCTGTAACACCAAGTTGTCCTGCCATAACATCCATGTAATATTCATCAGAAGAAACATTAAGAGTGATTGGTTCAACGAGCTTCTCAATTGAGCATGGAATACGTATAGCTTTAATCCTTATGCCTTCAATGGAGCTAAATTGTTGATTACTTAAAGCCTGTATAGTCTCTGGAGAGAATGAGTTTTTCCTCCAAATCCAAAGCTTTTCCTCAGATGTAACAACAGAACAGGATAATCTAGCAGCTCTCATAACAAGTGATAGAACCAAAAAATGATCCGATTCCACCTTTGGGTTGATGGATTTGCATAAGCTATTAAGCTTTGCATCATAGGAAGCAAGGACAGAAACAGGAATGGCACCATATAAGTCGCCCACTCTCTGGATTGCTGCTCTGAAGTGACCACTCAGTGGGTGAGTTGATGAGAGGAACTTCACCAATGAAACAAAAATGCAGCAGAAAAAGTGTCAAGGGCATGCATATTCATCAAGAGACTTGTGCAACAATGACAATGTAGTAAAGTCAGAAAGTTCAACTTTTTATCAGTAACTAAAAAGCAAAATTTTATTAATGGGAAACAAAAAAACGAATACAACTGAATTAAGATGTCAAGGTAATACCTTGTTACAACTTAGTTATAAATACTCAAACATACAACAATCAGATTTTCAATGATCTCCCAAAACCTATCTCCAAACTAATGAACTTGTGTGTGCAGAATATGGTAGAACCAGCACCCAATACATTACTATTTTGCCTATATCAGTCAGCCACAATTCTTTCAATCCTTCTAGATTTGTTCTTGAAGAATCTTCTATTTCTCTCCTTCCATATTCCCCAACATATTGCAAAAGGGATACACCTCCAAACTTTATTTTCAAGCCCATTTGTGTTTTCATCATGGGAAGAGCTTTATAATTGCCTGTTCATAGGAAATGAGCTTAGCTTTGTAAATTGAGAAAAAAAAAGAAGCCAAATAATGGAGACAGGAAATATTCATTTAAGCTCAATTGATCCATCCCCCAATCAGAAATCTACAACAAACAGATCAACTCTGTGATTCCTCAAACACAATAATAGGATCATCCAACAAACAAAAACGCTCAAAGAGATCTCTAGAGCTCTTTTCACACCCAATTGTGTTTTCATTGTGGGAAGAGCAGTACTTGGAGATAAGTGTGCACCATTGTCCTTCTGTCCCTCCCCCCTCTCGTTCGTTTGCAAAACTTTAGTCATAATGGCAATAAATACTAAGACAAGCAACAAGAGATGACTAAGAACAAAGTTGGATATTGAAGCTCCTTAAGAAAAGTCATGCTGAAAATGGGGAATAAAACCAAATTAAAAATAGATTTTGTGTTTCCACTGCTCAGGCCAATTGCCCCATCTAGCTATGGGCAGAGTATTGCATTTCTGCTAATAGGGGAGGTTTAATTTCAATCCCAACTTGGCCTTTGTTGTTCATTCTATGAAGTTTGTCATGGGAAAAAAATGAGATTTTAAAAGTAAAAAACAATATGTAGTATTTTAAGTAAGGACAATTAACAGAAGGGGTGTGTTTGCAGATTTTTTTGAAATGCAATTGAAATGTTTTAGCCGAGATCAAAGTATAGAAGTTTAATTACTTGTCTAAAACATAAGGGAGATTTAAGTAAGTTTTCCCCATTTTTGTTGCAATCCATTAACCACATCTATATAGGAAGTAAATCACTTGAGCATTCTCAAGTTACAACCATATACACATATTTAGAGCAAATGAAGCTATTGCCTCGACAACTTGACACAAAAGGCTAAGGCTATAATGTATAAGCCTCTTGCCACAAGAAGACTAAGCATCATACAAGTAAAATGAGACTATTAAGGCTAGACAGTTTAGGCACAGCTTCCATCTTCCTTCCAAATTATATTTTTGCCCTCATCTTCTTCCTCAGATTCTATCCATTCGACTTCATCCTCACAATAGCAGGCTCCTGGACAGGTTGTCTTCTCTACTCCATTAACAGAATCCTCTCTTCTTATATTCAGCTCTAAATGAACTAGGGCTCTTAGGAATGTTTGATCTTCTCCTTCAGTCATCACTCTAAGGTCATAGGCTTCACCTGCGAAGAAGAGCTTGATAGAATCTAGAATTGAACAAAAAATGTTCACCTCAATCAATAGTCTTACACTATCAATTTTCTCCCAAGTTTTGTTTCTGGCATCAAATTTCAAGAATCTTCCACAACAACAACCAATTGCCTTAAACATGTCTGTGCACCAAGTATGTAAAAGGATTCCAGAGAAACTAATCGCCACTACTCTTCTGCCTTGTGAATTACCAACTTCCCTAACTGTTGGAAACCAATAGCTTAACCACACTTCTAGACCTCTAATCTAATCAATCTTAAACTGAAGAACCCAATTAGTATTATCCTTACTATGAAACATGAATAAAAACAAGCCACCATTAAGCCATTGGAGTCTTATCAATCGTCCCTTTCCCCACTCTGAAAATGTCCATCTCTCTGCCTCCCCAGCATCTGGATTAGCACCAATAAATCTTCCGACAAGACAAGCTTTCAGCAGATTCAGCCTATCAAGAACCTTACCTGCAACCTTCACAATCACTCTTACAACATGAGCATTCCTTCAAAGCTCCTATGAGACAGAGTTCAGTAGAGATTCAAACTCTATTAAGAAGTTTTGATGCTAACAAGGTTGATGACCCATCCACTACTAATCATTGTGCCCAATATCAAGTATCAAGGGATATCTAGTAATCAAGTTGGCGGGTACAAAATTTAAATTTCCAATATATTGCTTCAGCACCCTTGCAATGGACAGATACTTGTTTCTACAACACAAATGGTGTCAGGTCAGTTTTCTTGCTTTGTCAGTTATCACATGCCAAATAAACTCCTTATAGGGAGCCCTAATGTCCCCAGAAAACTTACGTGAAACCAAATGTATTGATCTTGGGCCAAGCAACTATTAGCTGAGCCTAAATATATTCTGAGGTCCCATTTTCCCCTATCTTCAACCTCCGACCACCCACCCCCTAACCTTTCAGCTCCTCCTCTTCCACCTCTCAACAATTCAACTCCCATTTTTGAACACACACTTTTATCTCATACCCATTAAGCTAGAGSAATGGAAGACAACCCATAGCACCAACCTTAAGTTGAACCACTCCCTAGCAAAGTCTATCGTCATGGATAAAGGGACCAAGTGGATCTCCTCCACTTCAACCAAGATTCGCACCATTATCAGGTTTTTTTGATAATTTTCACACCATTATCAGGTTCTTCATCTATTCATGTGGGATTGATTTTCCTAAAACTCCCACAGACACCCCCAACAGCCTGAAATGTCCACCGTGCACTAAGAGGAATACCATAGACATTAATTCACACAAGGCTTCTAACACCCAATTCTCGTATTACTCCAACTAACAGATTCCACCTCCCCAACCTTAACTCTGGAGACCAAACTTGACCAGACTCTCGACTTATCAGCCTCATCCTTACTATTCAATATAAAGATGATATCAGGAAAAAAAAAAAAAAAAACTGTGTTTAATTTTCTAACTTGGATACTTTTCTTCATTTTCCACTCTACACTAACCCATTTCAATACTTCCTCCTCCTCTGGGCTCTGGCTTGGAATTGATGATCTTCATTACCAATCTTGTGCGTCCCATTAATTCATCATGAACATTTTCACTTCTACCCTGAATGATCTTCTCCATATTGTCACCCATGAGAAGTTATCTCTTGAAGCTTTTTTTGTTAAAAGCTAACTTCTCTGTACTTAATCCTTTGACTACTAGCCATTCAAGCAATCCATCTCTTCATTAACAAAGAAATAGAACATAGAATATTTAGCAGTAAATCCTATCACACAACTAGGATGAACAGTACCCAACCCAACAGTAATTTACCAAATAACCACTACATGTAGTTAGAAAGTTTGATATTCAAATAATCATAGAGCATTATTTTAACGTAGAAAGAGTAGCCAGTGCTAGAACAGAAGAGAATGTGATAAATTAAAGAAAAGAGAGGAGAATTGCAAGTGAAAGTACCATCATTAAAGCAGGAATCCTGTTTAATCCTTATCCCAACCATATGGGGTTGGCCACAGGAATCCTGTTTCCCATTCCATTCTGTTAAATAGTACCATATCCATTGTTAAATTATGATTTATGAAAACTTAAATCATTTCTTACCAATTCAACCCTTATCCTTTTCAGTCTGCCCCTAGCTCTTCTAGCCCCTTCAACCTTTGTCTCATATTAACATATATAATAAAAGACACCAAAAAAATGGACCACTGAAAAAAATACACTCTAACTGATTCATTCTCAATATAAATCATAGATAATAGAAAGAACAAATGACAATGAGCATTTGTGTGCTTGTGAGCACATAAAAATTCTCTTTGAATCTTCTACCATTTCCGAGGTAACTCAGTCAGCTATTTTATTCCAATTTATGATGCAACAGCTGGTTGGAATATAAACAAAAGAAAACACCTTACTGATAATTCTAACCACCCAATCAATTGCCTGCATTTTATGGGCCTATAGTCCAAAAATATCATTATTCCACCAACAATAAAATATTACAGAGAATCCAACCTCAGAACTAAAGTTGGTCCATCAAATATCAAGAGGGCCATCCAACTCAATCATATTTACACTCAAGAGTTAAGGGTCATTGGATTAACTCTATGATTCCCCAAATAGTTAAAAACTAACAACACAGTCTTCTTTATTGCTTATCTAATGCATCAAAAGGCTCAGTTGTAAGTTGTATTAGTTGAATGCAGAAATATGCAACAATAATTTTAAAACAACAAAAAAGAGAAATGTGACATTAATAGAGGGAAAAATCACCTCAATTATAGCACTGGTTGTAAATGTTATCCAATGAAAAAGTAAATAGGATAACTGAACTATTTGAAATGAAATCATAGAATTTACAACATGTTGCTAAATGCATATCAAATAGCATTGTATATTTTCCAAGCTATTTGTGCTTATTATGCATTAACCTTGAAAAAGATAAATAACAAACCTCATTTGAAAATAGATATGAAATACGAGCAACCATGTCATCCCATGCTTCCTGTATAGTAGGATTAGTTGTTGCAGGCTGGATACCTAACTGCAAGAGAAACAGAAGAAAAAAGGTCATTAACAAGGGAATGACTCATGAGTTGTCTCAGATGCGCAGGGCAAAACTTTTCAACAAAAAGCAAGGGAAAAATAAATAGAGATTCTTATTAGGGTTATCCCTCTTCAAAATATTATTGATTAGTTATCATCTATAGAAGTAAAAGAAATAGAGCACTAAGTTCATCTGAAGAATTAATCAGGTGATGAAAGCTTCATCCAAGGATAAGGCCACTCCATGGCCACTATCTGCACTTTTCACAGTGACACAAGCAGGATTATCAGTTATCACGAGGGTAAGAAGGGTAATTTTCAAGTCCAAAAGCCTCAACATAGCTATCTGCTCTGTCAAATTCATTGGAAGCAGCACATAGTTATCTGCTCTCCCTTGGAGTTATGGTAATCTTTACCAGTTCTGAAGGAATTTCTGTTGTTCAATTTGTTGCCAGTCTCTAAGGGGGCCAAATCATAAATCGCGACATTCAAAAGAGAGAAGAAAAAGAGTTAGCACCAGGGACAAGGGAAAAGGGAGAGGTAGCAAATTTGGTACACTTGCCTGTTAAGGGCTGGCAACGGGAGGAATGGTTCATGCAAGGGGCTATTTGTATATGTGAGAGCTGGCACATGTGACATCTATTAGGAGTTTCCCTTTGGGCACTGGGTTGAATTAGGGTTGTCAACGGATTGGGTCTGGGTCAGTTCTAGGTAGAACCAGTCCCAAACCGATAATTAATTGGGACAAAAGAATGGACCCAGAACCGCCCTAATTAGTAGTCGGGTCCTATCAGGTTTTACCCAATAGACCCGATTATTCTCAAAACTATATTTATTTCTTTAAACAATAACTTAAAACATAAATTTTCATAATATATAATCTTAATAAAAATGACAATAAAATACTAAATTGTTTACAACTTTATATGTTAATAAATTAAACATTTTAACTAATACCATCATATATATTATCTATCAAATTTACCATTTCAGACATGAAAAATAATAAGAATTATAATAAAATTACGAAAACATTATATATTTAATAAAATAATTGGTTTGAGCATTGATCAAAAAAAGAATCAGTTCGGGACAAGCATGAAGCAGAACCAACCCGATTATTTAATCGGGACAAAACCATGGAACCAGGACCAACATAAATACATAATCGGTTTGGTTCGGGAAGTCGGGCAGAAACATCACAGCCCTAGGTTGAATCAGCAATTGGATTCCATCTTAATTGTAAGGTTGCTTTAGCATTTCATCTACAAGATTTTATGGATTGGGTTTTAGGCAAAGCTTGGGAGATGCCACTACTCTTGTTTGAGACTTTGAGGATCAAAAGCTTTTGACAAATGCTACACTCAGGCAGTTCTTGACTGAAGGCTGAGATTTAGAGGCTTACCTAATATATTTCTTCTCATACCTAGGAATTTATTCTTTTAAAGTGTGGCACTCTAGCCAGGAAATTGTGCAATAAGTTGAATTATAGCTACCTTTTTCTTTGCTTGCAACCGCTGTATCCCTCTTGTATACATCTACCATACTTCCTCTGTTACCCTTTCATTTTATTACATTTATTACCAATTAAAAAAAGAAAGCAATCTGAAGGCTTCTGCTAACAACCTTATCAATTTCACCATTTCCCAATGGAGGTAAGATAATGCAGCTAAATGTGGAAAATTATGAGTAAAAATATAGTGCAAATGTGAAATATTTAATACAAAAGGAATATAAAAAGTAAAAATACCTTTTCTAGAGCCAATTTGGCAGCAGATTGCTCCGCATCTTTCTTTCTTGTAAAGATATCTGAAGTAACAGAGAGCTCTGGAAGCTGCAAGGTACAGCGAAACATGCAAGGACCATGTTGGGGGATAACAAGACCTGGACATCCATTTTGGGAAGATCCCTGCACTTCCTCTGTAGTATAACATGCCTTGCTACCATATTTCTGGTGTATAATAGCCTTAGGTGTAAGAGTTGGGTTCCTTGCTGCAACAGCTGGTGCTCCTCTAACTTCCATTAGTTCTTTAAACCAAGATGTTTTAAGTGGCTATAAATTACAAACATAATACTTTATTGGTCTCTTAATCAGCTCCTGTTCAACATAAAAAATATCAAAAACTGTCTCAGTTCTGCATGGAACATAAAAGATTAATATCTTTAATCTATAAAACAAACTGACTTCCCTCTAAAAACGTTTAGAAAGATTGAACTTAAACTAGAAAGGGGTCTCTATCAATTTCACACTTGAGGCGTTATCAGAAAGTAGAAACAGAACTCCATGAAAATTCTATTTTTAGCAACAAAGATTCTATACACTATACATCCCAATAATCAAACTAAAACATAAATTTGGAGACTAAAAAAGGTAACTACAAAATCTTAAAAAAAAAAAGTAATAAATTAGTACAAGAAAGTTTGTCGATGCAAAATTGACAACTAATAATTTTACTCTAACATAAGAATTTCACACTTCCACTAAATTAGAACTTTAAAATTACATTAATTGAGAAAGAAAAAGAGCCAGTGAATTATCCAACTAGGGGTGGCAAATGGGTGGGTTGGATTGGGTTGGGTGTGGGTTGAATACCAACCCACCCATATTGACAAGACCCACTATAAATCCTTGTTAGTGGGTCATAACCCACCCTGGCCCTCACCCACCCATATTGACCCACTTACCCACCCATAACCCTCACCAAGTATAGATACGTGTTTCCTTTTTTTCTCCCTATCAACGACATAACTGGGTCGGGTCAACCCATATACCCAAAAGAGAAATCTTAGAGAAATATTCATCCTTTTTCATGACTGCCATGTGGCAGATACAGGTCAGGTCAATCTGTATACCAGAAAATCAAAAGAGAACCACTTCACTCTCATGATTGCCATGTGATAGATATTGGTCAGATCAACCCACATAGACAAAAAAAAATTTTAAGAGAACTGTTTTGTCCTCATGACTGCCACACAACAGATATGGGTCGGGTCAGACCATATACCCAAAAACAAATCCAAGAGAACTGCTTCGTTCTCATGACCACTGCACAACAGATGCAGGTGGGGTCAACCCATATACCCAAAAATCAGTTTTGGGAGGGTTTTTGTTCTCATGACTGCCACATGGCATATACCGGTCAGGTCAACCTGTATACCCGGAGATTGTAGAAATACAGAAAGATTGCACAAATTTTGCAGAAAAATTACAGAAAATGCAGAAAGTACATTAAAATTCAGAAATTTTGCAGAAAACTGCAAAAAAATGTAGAAAACTACAGAGAATTTGCAAAAAATGCAGAAACTTTGAAGAAATGCAGAAATTGTGCATGCAAAACCGCACAAGAATTAGTTTCTAAAAAGCTGGAATTAATTATATAGTATTTGGAAACTTGACACATACTTGAATTATGATTACTGTGGCATGAGTGAGAAAATAGAATTTAATATGTTGCACTTGGAAAGTTTTCAAGGTATTGCAATATGATCTGAAAATCCTGAACAAACACCAAAACAAAAAGTACACAAAAAAGGAATAGTAATAATCTATAGGTATAACACCATTTTACAACAGCAGATAAAATGAACAGAAAACAGACATATGGTTTCTACCCCCCAAGTCATGGCCTCAAATGCTCTCAAGATTCATTCCCTAAGAATGATCCACAAAGAGGTTCACCTGAAAATGCAGGCCATGGACAACAAATGGTTAAAATAACAATATAAAGGCACATTGATAAAGCTGTTATAAGAAAGAAAATACCAAATAAGAAAGAATAGCACCCTTGGTCCATATTGTTGGATAAACCACTCAGATATCTTCAGGTTGCATGCTTCAGTCATGGTCATCTCACGTCATTGGAAACCAATCATAAACATGTCTGATACAGCTTCCAGCACCTTTCAACCCTTCCGATCAGCAAATCAACATCTTCAACAATTTCTGTTAAAACAAAACAATGGTGACACCAGTAAATAAGTTAGTTTTGGATATCTGAGGCTAACTATATTGTGAAACAAAGAGTACTTTCTTCAATGTATTTATTGAGGCTGAAGTGTCTATTATGCAGTTTACTAAAATATCATATGCAGAAGAAACAAAAAGAAAAATATTGCTAAGGAAAGCACAATGACTCGTAGTAAAATAAGTGTTGAAAAAATATGACGAAACTAAAAATGCTAAATTCAGTAACCAGTCCACTCACTTGTTGCCTTAGCTTTTCTAAATCAAAGCCTTACAAAATGCTTTGATTCATATCATCTGACAGTTTTTCCAATTATCTTTTCAGCGATCCCAATATCACACAGCCAGTTGTGATTTGAGAAAGTTAAATCCAAAATCTAAATAGCATATGGGTTTATGACAGAAATAACTGTTTCCAATTTAGCTATGTCAGTTGTCTGTTAACTGTTATTTCCATTTTCTGTTTTCAACTCAACTCTACAGACTTGCCTAACCATTTGGGTTCAGCTACATGAGTCCTGTTCCACCATCTCATCTTTGTCCTTCCCCTTGCTCTTTTAGGACCTTCTTTTTAAAATTCACCTCTTCACACTAGTGAGTTAGAGGTCTGTATGCCAAACCATCTTCATCAACCTTTTTTTTCATCTTATTCATATATGTGTCTGTTTCAAATTCTAGCCTTCTTAGGTGTTCAGTAGCGCTGGACAAACCACCGATCTATGAAAAACTGCTTCTCAAAGATCAGCTACCTTTTAATGCTGAGAAAACATATGGCATGTTCAGGAGTGAACTCACCTCTTCATTTGGTTAGAGGTGGTTTTATGATAAAATATGATTAAATACCCTGCATGAGAATAGGAAATGTGGAAATGATAAGTAAAATGTTATTTTACAAACGAAAACACAAAAGGAGACATATCCCAGAAAGTCAAACTGTACTAAATAGCTGATACTACAGAGATACTGGCAGTGATGTTTCTTTTAGCCGTAGGTTAGCCTTTGAGAAATGCTGCATTCTCTTCATGATTTCGTCTATGTGCTCCTCACCATTGTTTTAATAAAATTTCATCTTACAAATGAAAATGCACAAACAAAAACGAAAGAGATGAGATCTATTGATGAGATGATAGATCAAAGAAGTGGATGGTAGCGATTTTGCCTATCACTCAATAAGGATGTTGGCTTCAGAGTTGGAGACTGGCGGAACAGAGAGCAGATGGCTTCAATGGCTAAACAGAGAAAGGTTTGCAACCCTAACAGCGCAGCCAGAGAGATAGTTGTTGGAAGTACAACAATGGCACCACAAAAGAAACTTGGCAAAGCTTAGACCTTGCATCGTGGCTACTGTAACAGCGTCTGCAATGGCTTCCTCTTTAAACCCTAGACCAGCTTTCAACCCAACCGAGACTCTGAGATGAGAGATGAAAGACTTCAACCCTCCCTTAACCGACCCTGACCCTTTACGAAGCTATAAATGCTAATTTTCAAAAGAAAATTGAAAAAAAAAAAAAGTAAGTCCTAAGACCCTGAAGCCCGAAGAAACAAACTGCAAAAGCAATGTAAAAATTCAAGAATGCTGCGTGTGGTTGTGCAACGTAACAATGAACCCAAATCAGAAAACGCCACCAAGAGAAACAAATCCATCCATGACAAGAGTTAAAAAGCAAAACAGTCAAGCAATGCATTCAAGGACGCGATAAAAAGGTACACAAAATACTCGAATGAGAGCCAACGGGTTCTACGAGATAGCAACCAAATATAAACACACATAAATATCAATGCAGAAAACCCTAAAGAATACCAAGTTCCAGTGATTTAAATGTTTGCAAGCATGGAAAACCAACAATTAATTCATAACACCGCACTAAAGAATCAAAAATAGATGGAGAAATCAACCGAAACCTGGCGATATTACATAAAAGGAAACAGTGATCTCATAAGTAATATATATCGAATTTCTGTTCTATCTATCCATCGTACGTCCGGACATCATTCTGTGTTTCTCGGTGGTGTTGTGAAGAGTGTGACTGAGAGCGTACACCGAGCGGGGGCTCTCCGTTTGGGCAGCGGCGAGACGGTTTCGGTGTGACTGTGTGAGTAGGGAAAGTCAAGTTAAAACAAAGACTGGAAGGGTGGTGCCTTCCTTCGGAATGAGGACTTCGCGCCTTCCTTCGGAGTCAAGGTTTCGGGTGTAAACAGAGAGACTCAGGAGTCTCGATTCTTCCAAAGGCCTTTCAATTTTCTCGTTGGAAGGGTGGTGCCGTGGCGGTTTTACGGGACCCTGTGTTTGGTTTCATAGAAAACAAGGGACTGAGGGAGACATAAAATTGAGGAGAATCACCAAGGGTTCGTTTGGTTTTTAAGAATACTAAAGAATGACCTCGTATTAAGTACGGGGTAACAAATGTGTGTATAGTTTAGTTTGAAACTTTGAATGTACTATTTAGTTATTAAAATTTAAATTAAAAAAAAATAATATGGGTCTTGTAGTTTGGTAGTTGATAATTTATTCTGACCTATTTTATTTGAAACTCATTATTAATTTATGTTTTTTTTAATTTGATTTAAGATATTAAATGAGATCTTATCAGTAAATAATAACCCACTTTATTTGGTATTTACTACTTATCTAATAAATCTATTTTGAGTTATTTATTTTTAAAAGTTAAATTAGGTTGCTTCCTAAAAGTTAAATCAAGTTTGTAATTAATAAAATTTTCTTTTTGAAAAAAAATCATTTAAAAACAAACACGGGTTTATGGTAATCTTTTAATGGGTCCCACCATTTGTATTTAATAAATTATAGACAAACATGTGTCAAGTTAATAAATAATTGTCTATTGAGAATGTTTAGGAGTGAAACTATCCACCTTTTGAATTAACAGTATGCCACGTGTCTGAATAGTGGTAGTGGGTTGTGGGCTTTAATAGCAACTTCTCAGAAAATGCCACAGTCTAGATTTCTAGAAAAATGAAAAAGCCACATGTTTGAATGGTGGGGGGCTATAGCCTGATAATGGGTTGTGGGTTTTAATAGGAATTTCAGAAAATGAGAAGGCCACATGTCTGAATGGTGGACTGGTGGGGTTGTAGCTTGAAGATATTCCTTTAATATATATATATATAGTACACCAAAATATCAATGTGAAACCTCACCTTCAAAGACCTTTTACTTCAATAACTGATGTATAAAATACATTGATTTTTTCGATGTAAAACTCGACCAAAAGTGATCTTGATGTAAAAGCAACAATTTTTTCTCCTCTGGCACCATCAAGTTTACTTCACCATCGAGTTTCATTTGCCATCACCATCCACCACCGTTGTTTCCATCTTCTTCTTCTTCTTCTTCTTCTTCTTCTTCTTCTTCTCCTCCTCTCGCTATCCATTCTCCTTGTGACAGGTTTGAATGTAGAACACAAGACAAGCTCAAGCATCTCATCATCCCCATCTCGCAATGAACAAGAAGAAGGTACACACTGAGCTAGATCTAGATGTTGTCCTTCAGATCTGAGGGAATGATGTCAACTTGTTTCAGATTCCCAAAATATATTTGTTTTTCTGTTGTGGTTTTCTTAGATCTGTGATTTTTTTTTTGTGTTTTGGTTCTTAGATCTACGATTTGGTTTGTATTTATTAGATCTATGATTTGTTTTTTTTTTTTTTTTGGGGGGGGGGTTCTTAGATCTACAATTGATATTGTATTTCTTAGATCTAGATTTTTTTTTATTCAATTGAATTTGTATTCCTTTGAATATAGGGTCATTTTTTTATCTGGATTTGTATTCCTTTAATCTTGTCACTTTTTGCATTTGTATTTCTTAGATTTGGGTAACTGTGTTAGCCCTTGCTACCCTTTTTGTATTTCTTAGATTTGAAATCTTGACTTTTTGTAATTGGTAGAAAGAAACCATGAGTTATTTTGTCCATCTAAGGGTAATCTAGCAGAAAATCTGTCAAGGAATGAGTAAAAGAATCATCATATCATGCTTTTTTTTTAGGAAAATTATCTTTTAATATGTGTTGAATTAGTTAGTCTAAAGAAAATATATATGTAAAACTAAGACAGAAAAATCTCAATGTAATATTTACAAACACAAACAGAATGATGAAATAGAGAAATCTCAAAAGTTTTTTTATCAGAATTTAGCTCAAAATTATTGAACTTAACAATTTTGGATATAAAATGATCTTGGTCCAACATGTATGCTACTTTGGAGTGCTAGACAGGGTATATACTCAGTTTCACCCTTAAAACATACTCTTTCTTCTTCCTCATTCAGATGGGCTCTGGACTAATGTTTGTCATTGCTTGTAGTGTACATTATTTTAAAATGTGGGTGAAGTCTTATGATATGCTAATGTGCAATATGTGAGCCTTTAGGCATGAGGCTTAAGCCTCAAGAGATTTCATTATTTATGGAAAAATGAACTAAATCAAGAACATGTATAAAACTGTAATAAAGGACCACATTTGTTATAAGAAAGCATATATGGAATATTCATCATATAAACAATGGCTAAAAACTAGTAAAAGATTTTAGGAAGCTCTTAATCTAAATCGAAACCTTAAATGGGTGTTGGAAGCATAGATGTTTATACAAATAAAAAATACATTTGAAGATCACAGAAATAGTCTCTAACTTATTCTTTGATAACTAATAAAGGTTATGTTACATTAAAAGAACAAAAAATCAACCCAACTTTAGCTTCATCATAGAGGAGCTCCCAATCTTCTTAATAGCTTATTCACCAAAGACATGACATAAGTCATTCAATTCAACCATTGAAGCTTTTATCATAAATCATATGGTCCCTTAGTACATTGATAACCAATAACCTCAGAACTGAAAAACTTACAAGACTAAATGAAGGATTATGATTCCTGATATAATAAAGATGGGCATTCTGTTGCAATGGAAGGGGCTCAAGGAATGTCATTACTTGGGTTTCTAGACAGGCTTCCTAACCCTGGAACCTCTAATGGTTTTGGTAGAAATTCATGAGATCTCCTCTCGCTTTGTAGTTTTAGATGGATTCCCAAAGAGATAAACCAAGTAGTTGACTCTTTAGTCTCTAGAAAAATCTGCATTATAGTGCTAATATAATGCCAAGAAACTAATGGGCTGGGCTTTGCTTTTTATTTTTATTATCAAGGCTTTGTACATCTTCTCATGTACATCATTCCCTCTTTTTGAATAAAATCCGTTACCTTTTTTCTCATAAAAAAAACCATTCTTTGATAATTAATAAAGGTTATGTTACATTAGAAATAAAAAAGATCAATCAAGCTTTAGCAATAAACTCCCTCTCTAGCATATCAATTTGTAAGAGTATTAGCTAGGACTGTAGTAAGATCTGATTCAGAAAAATATATCAAACCTTACCAAGTAAAAAGAATTGGACTCAATATGCCAATCCATGCCAATCTTGATACCAGTCAGCCCTTGCTACCCTTCCTTTTGCTAGTTCATTAATAAGGAATTAGATAAATTTTCTCCTCATCTGAATTAGATGTGCTTATTTGGGTAGTTACATATCTAGCTTCTTGAATTGAGTGTAGCAACTACCGGGACCATTGAATTCATAGCCCGAGTTAGGTAAGCCAAATTCACTGAACTCATAGCAACCCATTTCAACGTGTGAGTAAGTACCTAGTTTACATTTTCACGTGCTTATTTGTTATTTTGTGACCTGCAGACATAAGGGTACCATCATACATTGAACGACGTAGGTGGGTTATTAGGGCCTTTTCTGCAATTCTTAGTGTTCTCATTACCCTCATAATGGTTGGGTACTACACACTCTATGAGCATCCAGGAACAAGGGAAATGAAGAGCATAGGAAAAGGGAAATTTTTGAAGATTATTTTTAGCATTGACAAGACATGCCTCTCACATATTAGGATGAGAAGGCAATGTTTTGATTCTCTGTGTGATCTACTTAGATTACATGGTAACTTCACACCAAGCCCCTATATGAATGTGGAGGAGCAAGCTGCAATGTTTCTTTACACTATTAGGCACAATGTGCGGAGTAGTACAATCCATGCTAGGTTTGGTCGATCATAAGAGACCGTACCCGATATTTTCACAAAGTCATTTGCAATGTGATTAAATTGTATCCCCTATTGGTTATACAACCCACTAGAGATCACATACCATCAGAAATCAAACATGACCCATGATTCATGCCATACTTCAAGGTGTGCTCTACTATGTGTTTATATCAATTGATCATGTCAACTCAATCCATCAATTAATTTGACATAAATGCAATGGACATATAGGATTGCATAGGTGCTATCGACGAAACTCACATCTCATGCAAAGTGCCTATTGAAGAACAGGCTAGATTCCGTGGTAAGAAAGGGAAAACCACCCAAAATGTGATGGTTGTAGTTACATTTGACTTGAAATTTACATATGTATTAGCTGGTTGGGAGGAGTTAGCTACTAATGCAATGGTTCTATATGATTCTTTACGGAAGGAATATAGTCTTAGTGTACTTGATAGTAATCTGTGATCTTTTTTTCTACACCATACCAATACATCAAATGGTTTGTGTGTGAACTAATTCATACTTTCTTCGATATGAATGTAGGCAAATACTATCTCGTAGATGCAGGATATACAAATATGTCAAGCTTCTTGGCTCCTTATCAGAACACACGATGCCACCTTAATGAGATTCAAAGTTGTGTGCTTGAATCCCTAAGAGAAATCTTCAACCATAGACATTCCTCATTGAGAAATGTGGTTGAGAGTGCTTTTCGATGTACTGAAAAGTGATGGGCCATCCTAAACTCCACCCAACACTTAGATTTCAGGACACAAGTCAAGATTGTCATTGCATGTTGTGTCCTTTATAACCACATAATGGGAGT